GAACTGATTTCTAATCTCGTGTGAATCTTATGTGGATTTGTACTATGTTATCATTCCACTTGATAAGTACCTCCTGTGTTCATGTTTTCCCTCGGCGCATAGGTACTAATAGAGCTGTCAACTGTGGCTCCTTTGTCTTCCTCGATAATGCATTCGCGGCCTTGTTCTCCGGTCCTGGGTGATACTAAACCTCACAATCATATCCAAATAACTTGGATAACCACCCCTAATGCTTCTTTGCCCCAATCCTATGTTCTAGCAAACACTTTAAACTCCTCTAGTCTATCATGGCAATAAAGTGTTGTCCCAACCAATATGGTTTTCACTTTTGGATGGCTAAGACAATCGCCATTAACTCTCACTTGTATACAGACTTGAGCCTCACCCCTATTGTGAGCACCTGACTGAGGTAACCAATGGGCCGATGATCTTGCATGAGCACTACCCTAGTCCGTATCTTGGTGCATCCTTCTCGACCATAAATGGTTTATTGAAGTTAGGAAGTGATAAGACGGGCACGCTGGTCATGCCTCTCTTTAATTGTTCGAAGACTCGTGTCGTCGCTTCCCTCGAATTGAAACAGCCCTGCTTCAACTGCTCCATCAGTGGCTAATGCTTTCATGCCATAACTCGCACAAACTTTCGATAGTACCCAATGAAACTTAAGAACCCTCTCAACTCTTTTAAATTATGTATCTCCACCAAGTAGCCCAGCTCTGCTCCTTGTATCGCCGTGACCATGGTTTTGATTGAAACCAGGGCTCTGCACAGGCCTTGCAACCCCGCTATCTTCCCCTCTACATGAATCTTCATAGTCAAAGATTTCGAGTCTACCTTCGTCTCCCTGATCGTATGTAACGATTTCATTTCCAAAATCACATAAGTGCTCCCCAAATCAAAAGGAACAAAATTCTCCACTATATGTATGCCCTGGAGTATCAGCACCAACCTTCTGCAAATCCCCTCCAACTTAAAACCCAATTGGCTCATGGCCTGATTGAGATGAAGTTATGTGTGGCTCTGCTATCCACCAAAATCACCATTGGCCGCTCCTTGATTTTCCCCCTCACCTTCATGGTGTGATTTGGGGTAAATCTCACCACTGAGTTAAGGGACACTTCCACTACATCAAGGTGTAGGTGCTACCCTCCCTCTTTTGCTTTCTCATCCAACTCATTGTCGATCTCGACCTTCTCACTAACCATAAGGACTTGGAGTGTGCAGTCCTTGCACCGATGGCCGGGTGCATACCTCTCATCGCATTGGAAGCACAAACCGTTCGCTTTTTTGTCCTGCACCTTTGCCTCTGTGAAGCTCTTGAAGTTGGCTCTAGGGAAATCTCTCTTAGTCTTCTTCCTTGGTGCCTCTCGTTGAAATGACATAGCCCGAGTCTTCGGTGCCAAGGAAGTTAAGGGGTTTCCGTAGCAAACTCTAGTGACTTTGCTGATGTTGGCCCCCTCCATCTGCCTCCAGTTCTCCGCTATCTAGGCTAGCTCCATGGTGTCCTTCAATTCCCTCGGCCTCAACAATCAGAGGTCTGCCCGTATGTCAAGTTTGAGACCTTTCATGAAATTTTCCTCCAATATCTCCTCTGAAATTTCCTTCAACCACCCTAATAGCGACTCAAGCCTTTCCCTATACTCCATGCCCCCTGATGTGTCAAGGCAAGGAATTGCTTGTGTAGGTCTCCTTTCCGAATAGCTCAAAAATATTCCAACAAGCAATCCTTAAACTCCTCTTACGAGCAGATTGGGTATCTAGCCTCCCTTCATTAGAACCTAGCAAGGGCTTTCCCCTCCAAACATAGCCGCGAGGGCTTTCCCCTCCAAACATAACCCCTACAAATATAGCCCTACGGTCGTAAGCTTCTCATCCTCTCTCACCCCATTCACCACAAAATCTCTCCACGCGATACACTCAACCACTAGCATCATTCCTTTCGAATACCGACATCTTCAACTTCCTCTCCCTAGGATCGCCATCGCCCCAATAATTTCTTCCTCCTCCAGTATAATGATTGTTATGATTCCTCCATGTTTCCCCCGTGTTTTAATTATTCATTTTTGGTTGATTATTAATGTTTAAAAAACTTAGGATTTAGAGACCATGAACTCCACTACTGAGGATAAGACAAGCGAGAAAACTATTTGCTATGACAATGATTCCAATGAAGACCCTTTGGGTCATGCTAGTTCTGAAGACTTTTATTTTGTTATTATATTGTTAATTTTATCTTTAGAAGTTCAATATTGAACAATAGGAAACTAGGAATGAATGAGTTAATTTTGTGATAAATTTAGTTAATGTGTAACTTCGATTTGATATATTTAGTCCTATTTTGTGCAATTTGTTATTTGTTGTTTTGCATCTTGCACAATTTATTACTTTATATATACATCAATTTGTTATTTCTTAGTACATTAGAATGTTAATATGTTATTTTGTAACATATTATTTCACAAATATCCTTCATTTTAACTTTTCATAATTTTTGGGTTGTGCGGCTCGTATGTCAAAACACCTTGAGGCTTATGCTTCACCTTATGAACAGAAAACTACTCAGTTCCGCATTGCGCAATTTTAAATCTTGTTTATAAGCATAATCTTTTGTTTGCTTTGAGATTCATGACGAATTATGATTTGATGTATAATTTTCGGTTTGCTCTAACTAACACAATTTTAGCCAAATTGATCACAAAGGCGACTTGGATTGTAACTGACGAGATTTGAGGTGGTGGAGCACTTCGTAAATATGGCTACAACAAAGAGCAATCTATGACATGCATTCTAGCTCAAAGCTTCGTTTGTATGAATGTTCTTTTAGTTAAACTTAGCGGCGGCATTGAATGAAATTTTAGGAGATTATTACCATCTGGTTGGAACCATCCTACCATCCTTGAAATGTTGGCATCATTTAATCTTGTTTTGCATGTGAGAAGTGGTTGCATCTTGATCCTTTGTTGCTTGCTGTTCTATTAACAGAACTTGAAAAAAAAAACACATTACAGATTTAAATGTTGGCATTATTTAAATCAAATTCTTATGTACACATTCATTTCTTAAGTCTGCCTTCAGGTTCTTTTTCGTAAACATCCTTGTTTCTCTTGCACTAGACTTGTATTTAAGCCTTCCTGCCTGTACCGGTTTTGGGTCTCTTCCTGCCCAGCTAAGGCGGTTGAATGCTCTTTTAGGGGCAGGAAATTGATGCAAAGTGACTGGAACAGTCCACTTTAGATGGTTGTGATCTTGAAGCTTTCTTTTGACACTGCACTATGGAGATATGCCAACCAATATCCTGTCCTCCAAAAAACATGTTTTAGTCTTCTGTTGTTTAGGAAATTTATTTTGATAGTTTGTTTTAAAAGTTCTTTGATCTCATTTTATGATAGTTTGTTTTAAAAGTTCTTTTATAAACAGGCAAATGAAGTTTCAAACGACATCAAACAAACATACTACTCAAAAGTGAAGATTATTGCTCTCGTTTATGAGATTCAAATTAAGATTTTAACAATGATGGCTTTTTGATGTTTCTTAGTTTTTTGATGCAATGATGGCTTGAATTGGATTATTATTAAGATTTCAAGATTATATGTTGCTATGATGAGATTATTCTTAAGCTATTTGTGGAAAGAGAAATGGTGTTTGAGTTTGTTGTTAGACTCAATAATGATTTTGATTAAGAAAATCTACTATTACTTATTTATAAATATTTCAAAGTGGCACGCTTTGAAATTATAATCAAAATTTGAAACACTCTATTGGACAATTAGTATTGATTCCCCCTATAGTATATTGTTCCTTTAGTATTTCGGTTCCTAAATGATGTTGGAATTAGATAATTTTGAGCTTGTTTTGAGACACTCGATTTGATTGTAAGCATGTAAAATTTGATGATCATTTATTGATCTAATTATTGTCATTCTAATTTTATTATGCTTGAAGTGCTTAAATTGGGCTCATTGATTAACAAATTGGACCACTTTTGATATCATATGGTTCCATCTCATCAAGAAGTTCAGTTCCATGATAAGCTTTTTTAATTTGAGGTTTAGACAATTTTTAATTTAAATCTGAAAGTTTCCCATTTAATTTTTCATCAAGATTTGTGTTCGGTCAAATCATTATTTGATGCATCAATCGAAGAAAGCTGGTATAGTCATTAGATAGGCTTAGGTTTTGTCTGTACTGATTTTTTTACTGCTTCTTAAAGCAATTTTTTTGGTGCAAAAAATTTGAATTTTTTACTAAAAAGTTATTTCAAGAAGCGATAAGAAAGTTATCTCAAATGAAATCTTAAAATCAAATGAAACAATAAGGTGAACAGATTGTATTTTAGTTGTTAGATTTTTTTTTATGTATTTTTTTAATTTTTAGGATTTAAAGTTTAAATGTAATAGTCAACATCATAACATCTCTGAATCAAAGTTCTAATATTGATAAAAGTCATTGAGCTGTGATTGCTTCTGAAAATGAGAACCAAACTTGCGTGCAGCTTTTCTCCGAAGACCAAAACCTTCTCCAATACTATAAGCAATAGCAGCTAGCCAGTTACGATAATGATCTGATCAGTGCTTTGAGATTGATGTCATAATTTGTGAATTTAGTGGACAGATTTTTAAAGCCTTTTTTAAAGGAGAGACGATCAGGTCTGTAATTTGTGAATCCGGGCTCGCACGTAATAATTTTCCCATTGCACCGGATTCACAGAACCTGAATTTCTAATTTTATTTTTTGATTTCTTTTGCATCAATTTAAAACTAGCGACAATAATTTTTTAGGGAAATTTTAAAAGATTACAAAATAAAGACAATAAATTATTTTATTTTACAAATAAGTGTAATTAATCTTGATTTTATGTCAATTCTTCGCTATTTTTTTTTCTTTTGAAATCTGGTTCATACAAAACAGCGAACAGCATTTTTGTGGCGACGCATCAAACTGGAAGAACGACCGGCCATTCTTCGTCTCTTTGCCATTTTGAGGTTCCCACACGCCACTCTCTCTCTCTTCTCTCTTCTCTCTTCTCTCTCTGCAAGAGTGAAACCCTAACCCTGGAGAAATTATTTCGTGGCCTTGCATCTGCTTCCAGAATGAACAGCCTGAGAGCGATCTGCTTCCCAGACGCGGTCGTTTCTTCCTTCATCACCCGTTGCCGCGTCCACGCTCGACTGGGGTTTTCTGCAGCCACACGGAACCCCAGCCTCCGAGCTCCCAGTCCCATCTATTCTTCCCCCTCCGCCGCCTTTTTAGTTGACGATCTTCCTAGAATGTCACACGCTTCTCGCACCAATTCCAAGAGGACTATAACTAGGGTATCTAATTGGAATTCCGAGAAATCTCCTTACGATACTCTCGGTAATTGTCTTGGATAATTGCAGCTCAATTGCGCACTCAAAATAGTATATGTTTTAAGAAGGTTATTGACTTGTCATATGATGATGCTTACTGTTGATACATTCTTGTTCTGATGAGATTTGTAGAGTTGGAGATAGATGCCAGTGAGGAGAAAATCAAGATCGCGTATAGGAGGCTGGCCAAGTTCTATCACCCTGATGGTGTGCTTCTATGATCTGAACTTGATTCTTCATCTTACTGCAGTCAGTTGGCATAAAATTGGCACATTTTTCATATGTTTGGTATGCAATTTTTTTCAATTGTTGCTACTCCTGTGCCTGCATCCTTCAGATTGCAGTTGTTGCTCCTAATAAATCCATTTCTGGTTTTGTTTGCCTGTCATAAACTCACACGACTGTCTAGAAAAAAGTGTTAATCGTCTTATTTCATATGCCAAGCTGAGTAGCTCGTTTATGATCGCTCAAGAGCTCATAATTTTACTTTTCTGTTATCAAAATGAAAAGAATGACCCAAAAGTGGGATTTGATATATAAATGTTTTGCATTATATTAGAAGGAACCTTTTGTTATTTAATAGAGCATCTTCAACAAACTAGTTGACATTGCCAGCATTGTTTTGTTTTTCTTCAACATTATGAACTCATTTATTATTCTCTTAACAGTTTATGATGGGAGGGGGACGCTTGAGAAAGGAGAAACAGCTGAAGCTCGATTCATTAAAATTCAAGCAGCGTATGAGCTTCTGATGGATCAGGAAAAGCGTGGTACATATGATAGAGATCATCGTGTCAACCCTATGAAGGTATTTTAATTTGTTAGTCATGTAAATGTTTAATGATGTTCTTGGAATTTGGAGTTAAAGCAAACGTCTCTCTGATTCATAATGGATAACATAATAAATGAGAATATTTTATTGATAATTTAATATTCGTTGAAAAAATGGGTTCATTTCTTGATTCTAATGGAAGTTTTACTGTTGTTTAGTTGCGTAACATGAGCCATCTTTTCTTGTCTTTTGAATTGGGATTGATTGTGTTAGGGTTTTCCTCTTTCTTTTTTTTTGGAGATATATGCGCTGAGGAATATTATGGATACGATTTTGGTGCTAAGGTGATCATTTAAAGCCAAGGAATCTATCGTAATTTTATTTTTGTTGATTTTATAAGAGTATAATGAACAAATACTATGAGAGTTAATTTCATGAGAATTAAGGATTAAAAATATGGTTTATATATACCTTTAGGTGCGTGAGATCGATTTCTAACAAATTTAGAGTGATCAAATATTTTGTGCATTTATTAGTACAATATAAAGGATTGGCATTTAGTCTATATCTTGCGGTTCTAAATCACTCTTAAAACCAACAAGTTTTACAACAAAAAAAAAAAAGATTTATTTGATTTGGATGGTTTTGGCTTTGGTTTAATATCAATCTGTAAATTGCATAAATGAATTCGTCCCATTTGGTTTAGGGTTTGATTGTGATTAACCAATAAAAATTGAACCAAATCTAATCATGACAGACATGATACGTCTTGAGCCATCTAATCTCTCAAATTTATAGATTAAAACCTCTACTATTAAATAATGTAAAACCAAAACAAATGCAACTAAAGAGTTGATTTTAGCATAATTAAATCCTTCCAAATGATTTTTATTATTTTTCAAAATTCAAATTGAATGAAATGTTGTGATTCTCAATTTCATTTTCATTGATTTAGTTTCGGCTTCTACCTATGTTGCACCTAACACGAACACGGTGATGCGGATATGACATGACACAGACGTGAGATATATTAATTATTGAAAATATAGGACACTATAATTTTTTATTAGTGCTTAGAAATTAAGTAAACATTCAATTCAATATTCTAATTAAGTTTTCTAATACAAGCTTGAAATCCTTTGTATGGATAGATTTAGAGCTTACGATGCATTCCTAAATTATATTAAACTAGTAGGAACTGAAATAAGCTAGTTCATATACATTAATTGAGTTTAAACCTAAACCCTAAAGCTTAAAAATCATCTAAACTCAAGTGAAAAGAGCCTATAAAATTGTACTGTGATAAGTGATAACACTTCAATAATAAACATCACTCATAACCCAACATAATTTCATAGAGCAAAGCACATTGAGATTAATAGATATTTCATTAAGAAAAATCAGAAAGAAAATCTAAAATGCATTTCTTTATGTACCCTAAGAAAATTTAGTAGTATTTCACGCTTGAAAAAGTGAAAAGCATAAAATGCCTCTTACATTACCTAATTTAGAGACTGCGTTGCCACTAAAGTTTCTCGTGAAGCAAAGAACTTGCGGGCCGACCTAAGAAGATGGAGAGAATTTCTCATTGATGCCCGCTGTTGCTGGAGTTATGTGATGTCGAAATTGTGAATGGAGCAGGAGATTTTCTCCTTCTTGCATCTTCCTCGTCGTTGAGCGTAGATAGTTCACCCAAATCGCGCTAACAACCCTAGCTGCGGTTGAACCTTCATCTGCGGATCGAGATGGAGCGAGGATTGAGCGGGTCAGGATAGGAATAGGGTTGATCTAGCTATTTTGAGTTTTTATCAAGTAATAAAATTTATTTTATTAAAAAAGTTTAAATCAAAATATTTCACAGAAGTGTATTTCTAAAATATTATTTAATTCAGACGCATTTGTGTCGTGTTTAACGTATATCCCAGTCTATCAGGCACTTGTCTGTGTCTGACACGTATCCAACACTGGATACCTTATTGTGGAGAAGTTTCGGTGCATCATAGGCTTCTACTTTTCAAGGTTGTTTTGGTTTGGTTCCAAGTTCTAAATCATAATGGATGTGTTTGTTGATGGGTAAGTTACAATTGTTAAATATATGCACAATATAACACTGAATAGTATAAGTAATTTTGGAGTTACTCGAAATTTCTAATTATGATAGGTTTATATTAAAGAGCATCATTGAGTCTTGACTTTGAGAAATCAGTGGTGATAAGATATGCTATTATGCCATGTTAGATTTGGATGATGATGGATTGAAACTTCATTTGCATAGCCATTATAAGGCTTGCAATCATCCAATGAATATTCACTCCAATCATAGTTATAAGCGTCGGTCTTACCTGGCGTTGAATTATGATACTATTGGGTTGACATTGATTCGAATGATAGGCACAGTAATGATTGTAATATACTAATATGAACCATTTTAATGAAATGGCTCATCCTAATATGATAGGATAAGATCTATGTTCATATGTGTAATGATAGGACATCCATGATAATTATGTGATTTCAAATGCCTAAGATATTGATTTCAAATTAAGTCACGGGAATTTTATCATATCTTCAAGTGAGTTTAAATGTTTGTTCCAAGCTTCATAGTCTTTGCATTGCTCTCATGACAAGCATGGTTGTAATGAACTCTTGGCATGCCTGAACAGATTACCATAACAAAAGATAAAAGTAAATCCTGTGTTTGTAAGCTGATCTTAAGAATAGTTCGTAAGAACTGACTGTGTTGAGTGTATGTGCGGTTTGTTTATTTAGGTTTTGTTTGAGACTACTTTCTTTCTGCTTTTTAAAGCAGTTTTATAGCATAAAAATTTTAATTTTTGTACTCAAAAGCTGCTTTATGAAACAGTAAAAAGCCATCTCAAATGAAAGACTTAGGCTTCGTTTGGAACCGGCTTTCTTACTACTTCATAAAGCATCTTTTTAGTACAAAAAATTATTTTTTTGTACCGGAAAGCCGCTGTAAGTAAAAAAATAAAATAAAATGAAGATGCTTTTTGCTTTTCTCAGATATTTTTTACATTGTTAAGTGCTTCATTTCTGTCAGGCTTCTGAAGCATGGGCGGAATGGTTGATGAAAAAAAGAAGAGCTTTTGACCAGAGAGGCGATATGGCTATTGCCGCTTGGGCGGAACAACAACAGCGTGAGTTGAATATTCGTGTACGTCGTCTCTCTCGCTCAAAGGTATAGCGACTTCCCTCTACATTTGTGGCCGTCAGATTGATTGGATAATAAACTAATGCATGCGAGTTGGCCGTCAGATTGATCCCGATGAAGAGAGACGGATCTTAGCTAAAGAGAAGGCGGCATCGAAGGAATATATGAATAATACATTGAGGAGACATACACTTGTTCTCAAGAAGAGGGATTTGATGCGCAGAAAGTCTGAGCAAGAGAAGAAAAATGTGATCAATCAGTTATTAGCAGCAGAGGGGCTTGAGCTTGACACCAATGATGATGATGATGATGATGATGAGGTGGTTTAATATGCCAATTGGCATTTTCTGTAGATATAAATCCTTTATTTTGTCTTATGAAAATGCAAACGACGCAAATGTATATATTATTTCATACATCAAAAGTATAGAAAATAGATGAAAGTATTAGAAATTTAGTTCTATAACTTATAGAGAAGTGATTGGTCACTCAGATAAATTATCTTAGTCTCTCTGTCTTTATTATTTATTTAGATTTGGGTATTTGGAATGTTAATATCAATTTCAAAGTACTTACTGCTTTCATCTTCTCCTTTCTTGAGTTGGTTTTTGATCTGAGAAGAATTCTTGTAATTGTGGAATAAGAAAAATGATAAAATATGGTCATATTCTACACTCAACGCTTATCACGAAATTTTTTTTTATTTTGTTTGAAGCAAATTAGAGCTTCTCCAGCTGAACTTCAAAGGGCTTTATAGTGTCGCTTGGTTGCTTAATTGGAACGCTAAAAAAATTCTAATGGGGTGCATGTGAATAGTGCGACGTAAATATTGGCATCGTATTGTTTATCCGCTATTATTATTATTTTTTAAAAAATCAAAAAACAGGTTATTAATTTTAGATACATTTTATTGAAGATACATTATTAATATAGAAATTAAGATAAAAATTTTATAAAATAAATTATGAGAAAAAATATAAACAATAAAAAAGCCTTCCCAAAACGAAGCGTTAGTTTGGGATGAAATTCGTACTGTCTTAAAATAATTTTTAAAGAAATTTTTTAGCATAAAGCAAATTCTTCCTGTTACCTCCACCAACTACTTCTCTGCTCATTTCACTCACATAAACATAAACATTAGGAAGGAATGATGATCCTAATAATTTAATAACTAGATTCAAACAGGCGGATAATGGTCATATGCTATAAAAAATAAAATTATATTATCATAAAAAGTAATTATATGGTATAATTTCATAATTTAATTTAATAGAATTTTAAATAATAAAAATAAATAACATGGAAGGTCTCAGATTAATTTTTTCTATATTTAAAATGACCCGATTTTTAGAACCCATTATTGATGCGATGAAGATATGCCTTGGTCATCTAGACCTCTCAACTATTTTTTAAATCAATCGACCGTTGCATTCTGGAATTCAAACATCAGAGCAACTGTCGGCAATGGCCTCCACGGTGAAGCTCTCCTCATCTACCGGCGCATGAAGCTTGCCGGTATCCACCCTGATCATCTAACCTTCCCCTTTCTTCTCAAAGCCTGCGCTAAGCTTTCAAATGTTGATCTACCCCAAATGATCCATACCCATATCCTCAAATCTCCCTTCTCCTGCGATGTCTTCGTTGCCACCGCATTGGTCGATTTATACGCTAAAGCCCGGCTTCTGAATCATGCAGAGCATGTGTTCGATGAAATGCCCCACAGAGATGTCGTCGCTTGGAATGCTATTATCATTGGTTTGGCTGGATATATGGGTTCGCATGAAAGAGTCTTCTGTCTTTTTCAGAAAATGAGATTGGATGAAATAAAGCCTGATTCGATAACTATCATAAGCTTGGCTCAGTCTTGCGCTCAAAAACAAGATGCATTAGGCCTTCTGAGAGCTGTTCACTCCATTGGAATCAGAATTGGCTTTGGATATAATGTTTCTGTTTCCAATACTTTGATAGCATCCTATGCCAAATGTGAGGATTTGGGCTCAGCTGAATCAGTATTCAGAGAGATTCCCCAAGATACAAAGTCGGTTGTGTCGTGGAACTCCATGATTGCAGGCTTTGGATATCTTGGTTGGTCTTTTGAAGTTGCTTCTTACTTCAAATGGATGTGCCAAGATGGCATTCGGCCTGATTTGAGCACCTTTCTTAGCTTGCTCTCGGCATTTGGCCATTCTGAAGATTTAATTCTTGGAAAGCTCATTCATTCTCTAGTCATCAAAGTAGGGTTTGATTTAGACATCAGTGTTTCGAATACTCTGATTTCACTTTACTCCAAATCCTGTGATGTGATAGCTGCAAGATACTGTTTTGATGGCATGACTGACAGAAATTGTGTATCATGGACTGCAATCATCAGTGGATATTGCAAAGCAGGTGATATCATTGAGGTTATAAATTTGTTTCATGAAATGGAGAGCACAGGTGAGAGAGCTGATGCCGTCACAGTGGTTGCCATTCTGTCAGCTTGTAGCCTGACTGGCTTCGTTGAATTTGGTAGATCAATGGAAAGTTATGTGATGTTGAATAACAAGCTTATGGAGAATGTCATGGTCTGTAATGGACTAATTGATATGTATGCCAAATGTGGAAGCATTTCAGATGCAAGAAGAGTTTTCGAGAGCATGAAAGGGAGAAATGTTGTTTCTTGGACAGCCTTAATCGCCGGTTACGCCATGAATGGTGATTTTGAAGAAGGTTTGAGACTCTTTTCCCTGATGCTTGAGCAGAAGTTCAAGCCAAACCATGTAACTTTCCTTTGTGTGCTTCAAGCATGCACTCACGGAGGATTACTTGAAAGAGGAAGGGAGTTGTTTGATACGATGACAAAGCGTTTTTCTGTCGAACCAAGATTAGAACACTATGCTTGTATGGTTGATCTACTTGGGAGGAGAGGGAAAGTAATGGAGGCATTGGAATTTATCAGGAAGATGCCTATTGAACCTGATTGTGGTGTCTGGGGTGCTCTTCTTGGTTCTTGCATTATTCACCAGGAGACTGAAGTTGGTGAGTATGCAGCAAGCCGTTTATTTGAGTTGGATTCAAATGTTGCTGTCCCTTATGTTGCAATGGCTAACATTTATGCTTCGAAGGAGAGGTGGGAGGGTGTGGCGAAGGTAAGGGCGATGATGAGAAGGAAGGGGTTGAAGAAATCAGGAGGTCAGAGTATTGTACAGGTGAATGGAAAGGGTCATTCATTCTTTGTAGATGATAGAGTTCACCCTGAAGGTTCTATCGTATATGAAGTTTTAGATAGCCTGGGTTTTCATTTGAAAATGGAACAAAAAATGGAGGACTTATTTTCATTGTTGTAGCATCATTACGTCTTTGGTGAACAAGCTGATAGCAACCAAAACGCAGGGCAACTTGAACTGTAAAGATGAATCTCATTTTGAAAATGGAAGCTCTAGCTAGTTATTCTGCTGCTGCTGCTTTAAGGATTCGTCTGCATAGCCATGGAGAAGACGTCGAAACCAAGTGTAATAATTAACCGGCTTCATCGCTATAATTTCGAACTTGGCAAACTGAAGGCCCTCAACATTGGGTGACTCAGAATCAAATCTCATGAATTTGCGCCAAGATAAACTCTTAACCAGGAGCAATTATTAGGTCCTTTCACTGGATGTAGAGGAAGGTTCGGTTTTATAGCCAAAAATAGGTGAAAAAGTGCAAATACCGAGTTTTTTTAAAAACTCGGTATTTTTTCAAAAAACTCGGTATTTGCACTTTTTTAGGCAAAACCGAACCTTCCTCTAGGTCCTTGCACCGGACCAAATAAAAACTCCTTAACCAGGCCCTCAATATTGACCTGTTGAACTTGCTTGAATGACTCACAAAATCCTCCATCAATCAAGGCTATTCTCCAAAAAAAACTTCTGGAAAGCTTATTATGTGCGATGTCTGGACCATCTGGAGGCGAATCCGGATGCGCCACGTCACCCGGAAGCACTGGGCCCCGAGTGATGTGGCGCCTCCGGATTCACCTCCGGACGAATTCGGACGCCGAACGTAATAATTTTTCCTAATTTACAAGGAGTATTCATCGGCCAAGTAGGGTTTTTTACCTGAAGAACTCACTGATGATAGTCGATGTTGATTAGTAATTCGACATATATCCATGATTTAGCAAATTTTCTTTAGTTTTTATTTTTGTGATAATTTGTTTCACATATTTATCTTCAGTTAAATCAAAATATAATAATTAAAAAAATAAAATAAAGATATGAATCAAATTATATAATTTTTTTGTTTCTCATGCATCTTAAGAGTGTTCTTTGATATTTTCAATATTGGATGCATCAACGCAATCCATTTCATCGAATAATAGACATTTGAATGATATCAATCGCCATAGAACTTTGAACTCGTTCTACATCGTCATGTTAGTTGGTTATCGTTCTCATTGCATATGCTTGAATCTATCGTCAAGCGCAAATAGAGGTCAACAATAATCGTCAAACATCACAAGCATATATAACTATTGACAAGACATCTTGACTCATATACAACAGAAAGTTAGTAATATTAATCCTCTTCAACTTAATGCAGACAGAAATTAGACTAATCAATCAATGGATCAGTCTTTTTACACTGTCATTGAAAAACCAGCTTTCCAGCAAGTTAAATTTCAAAAAAAAAGAAAAAATGTACAAGAATATCAAATTGTTATGTAACTAAGGTCTTGGAATATGGTCTGGATGTTAGGCCTCTCATTTACAGGAAGAATACATTTTAGTGATACAGCAAGAAGTTGATCCATTACACTTGGTGCTTCCTCCAAGCCTGCAATATATCTGTCAAAACAATCTGTTCCTCGCCCTTCTCTCGCGCACATTTGGACCCAATCGACGAGGTCGATCGCACCAGACTGGCCTGAAATTATGTCGCCGGCACTTTTTCTTGTCAGCAACTCCATCAATATTACGCCAAAGGAATAAACATCAGCCTTGAATGATGGAAAGGGTTTGTTTGTAGCCAGTTCAGGTGCTCGATAGCCAAGAGCTCCAAGGTTTAACATTTGCTCTGCAATGCTGCTAGGTGTTAGAAGACGGTGAAGACCATAGTCCGTAAGTTTGGCTGTAAGATCTGGACCGGTCAAGAGTATATTTGTTGGTTTCAGATTACCATGGGGTAATTTTCTGTCATTGTGAAGATGATACAAACAGCGAGCTACATCAATGGCTACTTTTAGCCTCTGCCTGACTGATAACCTGGCGTATCTATTTGGTGTAGACTCTGATGAAAGAAATAAATACACGAGTGAGCGTAATAGTATATTAAGAAAACAATAAAAGTGTTAAAGAAGTGATGATGCAATTTGTTGTTTATATTGAAGTGTTGATAAAAATTTCAAAACTTCACTAAACTTTTAGCCTAGATTTGCTTTCTCATCCATTTTCACAAAAGAATTACTTTCTTCAGACAAAATGTTGCCAAATAAAATGAAAATAAGCATCTAAACATTAGGGTGAAAAAAAAAACCCTGAACCAAAGAGAACCATTTCACGCAGAAATATTAGTAAAAAAAAAACAATTAAAATAAAGAAGCACAAAGAAGAAACACAAGCAAAAACTTCTATAATCTTTACTTAGAAAAGTAATAAAGAAGGTCATTAAAATAGAACTTACCATATAGATAGAGTGCCAAACTATCCCCAAAGATATAGTCTAAAACAATTAATCTTTCTTTGTCTCTTGGACCCCAATAATAGCCCCTCCATGAGACGATATTTGGATGTCTGATGGTTCCAACTCTTTTGGCTTCTTTAGCGAACTCCTTTTTATGTTTGACGAGGCCTGCTCGCAGCCATTTGACAGTCAATATATGACCACTATCCAAGGTTGCTTTATATGATGTTCCATGACTGCTTCTCCCAAGAACTTCAGCAGGAGCTCTTGATAATTCTTCGGCAGTAAATGTTCGAGAGAGATCCAAAAAAAATAGTTCTCCTGAAAACCTATCAGGTGAATATACTTCCAACAACACTGGATGCTCAGATATATGTGAATCAAGAAAATGGGGTGAGGAAGACAAAGGAGAACCGGGAGAAGATTTGCATTCCATCATTGGAAGACCAGTTGCTGGTTCCACAGCAGTGCCCCTGGAATCTGGATAACTGAATTCCATTGACTCCGTTAATAAATCCTTCTGTGCAGATATTGATCGAGAAGTAGAGGTCAGTAAATGGTCATTTGAAAAACTCACTGAAGTTGGAGAAGGATCATCTTTTGAAGCTCTGAATCTGTTGGGATGACCAAATATACCCTTGACATCTAGTCCGGTGACTTGTCCTCTAAATCCACTCTTCAGACAAAATTCTTGGGACCTTGTCTTTTGGAATGCGATGAACAAGAAGAATATTAGTATCACAACTCCAACTGAACCAACAACAAGTGCAATTCTAATGCTAGCCTTTGAGCGATTATGCTGACTCATGTTTGCATTAACTGCACTGTTATTATTCCCCAAAGAAATGTGGTCGGGGAAGACCAGCAAAGCGTTTCCAGGAAGGAATGATGACTTTGGAAACTTCAACAAACTTCGAGGTATTTCACCAGAAAGTTCATTATAGGAAACATTAAATAGCTTGAGATCTGGCTGAAGCATATTTGGAATCCTTCCATTGAAATGATTGTGAGAGAGGTCGAGAACTTCCAATCCACCAAGCTTGCTTATTTCAACAGGCAGTTCCCCAGATAATGAATTTTTTCCAAGAATCAGAACTTTAAGGCTTGGCATACTACTGATTTCATGAGGTAAGGAACCATACAATGAATTGTTAGATAAATCAAGGCTTTGTAAATGATTATACGAAGATAGAGCCAATGATTCTGCTGGGTGTGAAGTTTGAAGTGGAATTGATCCATTAAAGTGGTTTCCTGATAGATTCAAAAATGTCAAAGTTAATGAGGTGAAAAAGCTTGGAAGCACGGACCCGGTAAGTTTGTTTAGACTAAGATCAACTATAGATAGCTTCGGGTGTCTTCCTAATGCTGAAGGTAGAGAGCCTGACAGATCATTTGAGCTCAACTTGATAACCTCCAATGTAGAACCCCAATTTTGCATTGCTACGAGATCTCCTGAGAGCATATTCTTACTCAAATCCACAGACATGCAGCGAGCAAGATTTGAGGGTAAATGGCCTGATAATGAATTTGAAGAAAGGTCCAAGAAATTCAAACTTGAAGAACTGACAGTTTCGATGCTTCCTGCATAAATAACACTAGGTAAGAAAAAAGGTCATTAATCAGGAAATTGAAGTAATGAATTAAAAGATGGCTCATGCAATTATCAGTCATGAGAGTAAAAAAGTTAATTTTGTATTTCTATATCATGTTATATATTGCTACTACATGTTCAAAGTGTTTATGGTCCTATGTTCATTTGCTAGAGATGTGTGACGAAAAGGGGAGAAAGGAAGAAATGGAGTTATAATGACCTCGTATGCAATGATGGGTCTCAATGTGAAGACATGAAACCGAATCTAATAAGTCTAGTGTATTATTAGCATTTTTGGAAACTTTATGAGTTTAAGTGTTTTTTTCTTGGTGGATTATGACACTAGAATGGTGGTGCTACGTCTTCAAACTCTCTATTTGAGAATAAAAAAAACTCTCCTAGGAAGTGTTGCCCTCTCTATTAGTCAATGCAGCCATTGTTTAAAATTGCGCAATATGAGGCCCGCCTCAGTGCAATTCTAGTGAAAAATGCCTCGAGGATTACGCCTCAGCTTGGCTAAGGCACGCCTCGCCTCGCTAGCGTGAGGCTTACGCCTCACCCTATTTGTATACTTTTTTTGTTAAAACTAACATAAATCACGCCTTCATGCACATTCGAGCACAATAACTTCCTCTCGATTGTCTCTACCTCTATCCCGCGGCCTTCACCGTAGCCAACACCGTCATAGTCGTCACCAATAATTACTTGAAAGCTGCACACAACCACCCTAAAAATTTTGGAGCGTTAATCTCATATTTATGTTGATGAAATTATTTCTAAAAAATGAATATGATTGAAATAAATAAAAAAAGCACATTGGGAGGCATTCGACTCTACCAAATGAGGCAGCAAATATACCAATTTATTATGCAACAACTCAGATAAAGACCATCTCAGTGATGACAGTGCAGATAATTCCTAAGTTGTTGCCAACTATTTCATCTTTCATTAAGAATTAAATGTAAATGAGTAGAGAATTAATAAAAAATAAAATTTGGAGTTGAACTTGATGTTATATGATACTTTTATGTAATTTCTATATTTAATATTATTTTTTTCATAATATTTGGATTTTAATTCTATTTCATCCAATTTATTACTTGTCACTTTGAATCTTGTGCAATCTATGATGCACCGACACGCCTCTTAAAGAGGGTATGCAGTGTCGGACACGGACATGGGTCAGACACGGCATGGACACGTGTCCGACACGGCATTGGAGTGTCGCAATTTAAAAAATTAAAATTAAAATCGGACACGCGTGTCCGGTTATTAAATGATAAAATCGTTCGTTCTATTTAGCCTTTTCTGCGAACTAGAAGCCCTATTTTTCCGATCCACGAAAGAATCTTCTAGGGCGGACCGGGAGAGCTCGCAGTCGACGCCAAACGGAGCCCGCTGCCTTCGCCTCTCGTTCCTTCATCATCTGTGCTCGAGCCGAGGCCAAGCAGATCTCGTCTTTCTCATTCCTTCATTCTTGCGTGACTTTTGCGGTCATCCGAGGCAAAGTTCGCAATCAAGGCCAAACAGAGCACCTTCTGCGCCCAAGAGAGCCAAGACCTGTAAGTGGATTTCGCCATCTCTTCTCTTCATTGTTGAAAAACTAATGTACATGCTCGGTACCACTAGGTACATGCTCAGTACCACTCAATACATGCTCGGTATTGCTGAATATATGCTCGGTACCATTCAGTACATGCTCGGTACCGCTTAATATATGCTCGGTACCGCTAAGTACATGCTCGGTACCGCTAAGTACATGCTTGGTACTGCTCAATATATGCTCGGTACCGCTCAGTACATGCTCGGTACTGCTCAGTACATGCTCGGTACTGCTCAGTACATGCTCGGTACTGCTCAATATATGCTCGGTACTGCTAGGTACATACTCGGTACCACTCGATATCTTCCCATACAAACAACTTACGAACTTTAAAAACAAACATAACTTCAAAATTACTCTTACAATAAAATTTTGTTCCCCCGGAAACCCCTGCAGGGGCGCTGCCCCTTGACCCCGCGACCTGACCGGGCAGGTCGAACCCCGCCAGGGGGTAGCGGGATAATAGAATAAAATATTTTGGTCATGTTAACAAAAAAAACCTAAATTTTCACCAATTAATTTTTTATTGTGTGGCATTTTATATGTTTCAATAAATATTTTGACATTGATAGAAAGTGTTATAAAATGATACATGCCGCGAAATGATTTTATAAATGTTGTTCATGAATAGTTTCATATTTTGCAAATGTTGAATGTGTATACAAGTAAATCCCCCAAAAGCATTAAATTTTATCATACATGTGAAATTTTATGTATTTATGTATCATGTTACGTATTGCTAATACATATTGAAAGTGCTTATGTTCGAATGTTCATGTGATTGAAATGTGTGGAGAAGAGGGAGAAAGAGAGAAATATTAAGGAATGTGGCGGATGTTATATGTACATTACAAGTAGAGTTATAAGAGCCTATGCACTCATTTATGTATAATCCTCCATTTGTACGTAAGATATGTTTGACGGTTTGAACATATGTGAAATGATTTATATATAATTCTCCATTTGTACGTAAGATATGTTTGACGGTTTGAACATATGTGAAATAAACAAGTGGAGGTATAAGTGGAGGTAGATGTATAAGGGGCGAAAATAAAATATATACAAATAGTGATATAAGTGGAAGTGGGGTATAAGGAGACGTAAAGAAAAATGGGAGGCATAAGGAAGTGGAAGTATAAGAAGGCATAGTAAAAATATGAATGTACTATTATATGTTATGTTATTTCAAATACTGATTTCATATTCAAGTAAATGTGATGTGATTTTTATTATAACATCATGTTCAATCACTTTTTAAATTGTTGCTACTAATACATATCAATTATTGACGCTTGTTTAATACTGATAAAGAACTGATAGATACACTGTGTAATACAAACATTAAAATAATTTGTTTTGAACATGTCTTATTGTTCATATAACATAGGATGGCATATAAGTTGTTTTACAAGAGCATATTCAACTCAGTAGAGTAGGTTTCAATAACCTACTAAGCAAGTGCTTTCTCATCATATGTTATATACACGTGTTTTCAAAAAATGGTACGAACCTTATTTAGTAAAATCTATTGATAAAAGTCGTTGATCCTGGTTGAGTTCCTAATTCTATGTATGTTTCTTATATGGGTTAATCTTTTGCAGTTATGGGCGTGTTCATTGTTTTGGTGGAAAAGAGATTGTCATAATTGATGTATATTATTTTTTAATAATACAATTTGATGAAATGAAATAAAATGATACTGATGTTTTTGTTATTGTTCATATATGATGAATTAGAAAGGCTCTGCGTTGTGAATATTGAAGAAAATTAAATAAGAAAATTTTCCAATTTGGTCTTGGGAGGAATTAAGTCCGTTGTCATGGTCTCGACACGATACGATATGCTTCAGGTTAGTGGGTTGTATTAGGTCGGGACATGACAGTCATGTGGCGTTGAAAACCATTAGGAAAAGCTTCACACATGAAAGTGCCACAAGTAAAAAGACCTTATGCTTTTGAGCCACCATCTAAACAATGCTAAAAATTGTCTCCCCACTATCTTATTATAAAATGTGGTTATAGAGCTACCAAGAGAGATTATTGCAGCTTGGTACTGTGGAAACTCTATTGTTATGAAGACAAACAACTCAGGATAAGTGATTGATACCAGAACTTCATGTCTACACCCTAAGTGGGAGCTATGAACCCCAAAGAATGGAATTAGAGCAATAATTAAGTTTCCCAGTGGTGGGAAAATTGAAGCCTGAGATGAAATCAATGATCTTGGATGGCTCTTGGTGGTGGTAATTGTTCAGGCAAGTCTTTTGGTGCTACATCCCTGAATTGCAGTAATATAGCTTGAATACCTGCTAGAACCTTTATTTAGCTGACATGATGTTGCTCAGTCAATATAACCGCATAGAGTTGAGACTATCCCTTATTCCCTTGCAACAATGGAGGGTACATAGGACATAGGATAACTCTATGTGCAAGTGTGTTACCCCTTGATTCTACTAATATTATGAAAAAGGCGACATAAAATAAATACACAAACAAGTAATAGGAAAATAATGACTAAGCAACTTCAAGTATAATGAACGAGCATGCAAGTCAGGTGTGAGAAGATGCATCATATTTAAGTTATAGGATTTTCAACTCATCAACTGCCTTGTAACTAGAAGAAAAGGTGACGTGGCTACTAACTCATTATCCTGTATCCATCAACATGCTGATACAACAGAGTTTTTTTTTTTCCTTTCTTTAAGCAAATACATTACACCTTAAAAACATCCATGAATAAATCCATAACATAGTTATGTTCCACCAGCATTTCATTGACAGAATAATTTCCAATTTTGCCTCTCAATTCACAAGGCTTCTTTTCCCTTTCTTCAAGCAAACACATAACACCTAAAATAGTTATGAATAACTATGTAGTACAACCATATTCTATCACCATTTCCTTGAAATGGCAGTTCCATGCCATTTCTCTCAATTCACATGTCATAATTTAAAATAGATGTCTTTTTGCCTAAACCTTCCACTTCCTTGCACCATTACATGCATCTTTTTTTTTACCGAAAACAAACTAATATTATCCACTTATAGGGGCTACTTAGTCGAAATAATTATAAGTGGCTTGCATTCCATTCTACTTTATTTTTGTGTTTGGTTTCAAGAAAAAGAAATGCTGAATAAAATTTTGAGAATAACAATAATATCAAGCCTTTATTCCACTATGTGGGGGTCGGCAATATGAATCTTTTTTCTCCATTTTGTCTTATTAAGAGTCAAATTCTCACTTAAATCTCTAATAAAGAAAGGTCATTTCTAATATTTCCTAACCAAGTATTTTTAAGTCTACCTCTACTTTCTTAACATAAGTCAAATCTAATACATCTACGTTCCTAACGGGGTAATCGAACGGCTACCGTTTTATGTCACCAAACCATCTAAAGTGACTCTCTCTAATCTTATCTTCCACTGGAGCCACACCAATCTTTTCAAGTAATGCTCATTTTGTATCATGTCTCTAAGAGTAAAGCCACTCACCCATCTGAGCATCCTCATCTCTACAACACTTAACTTAATATTATGCTTCAATTTTATTGGCCAACATTCTGCACTATAAAGCATTGCAGGTCTCACCACTGTCTTCTATATATATATATATATATATATTAATTAATTAAGGATGTTTATTTTTCTTAAAATTTTTAGAAATATAAAAAATAGCCTCTAGTTCATTTTTGAGGTATTTTAAACTAATCAAAATTGTTCAAATTCCAAATCCTCACTTCATGCATTTACTCATCCTTGTGACAGTGATGCTTACCCTCATTATCTCCTTTTTATTCCTTGTCCCAAGAGCCCTTATCAAACCCTACCCTCGCAAGCTCCTATCGATCCTTTCCCGCACGAGCTCTCATTGATCCCTACCTCTGCAAGCTGACGTCAATCCCTGAATCCATGAGCTCATGCGGATGCCTCCCCCATGAGCTCCTGATGCAAGCACCCCTCAATGCCTCTCCTACGAGCTCCGTCGCCATCCATCTTGCGCCCTAGTTTTTTTTTTAGACTATTTTTTATTAATTCTAACCAAACACATAAGCTTCAAATACTTGCATTCCAAATTCAATATATTCCAAATACATTTCATTTAAAAGTCCCCTAAATTTTAAATACATGCAACAAAACATCCCCATAATAACATCTAGGTTAACACTTACATTTCAATTCATGCTAACATCCTTCAAGATCATAATTGTTTCTCTGATCTATTATAAATTTCTCCACTTCCCATTTCATCACCAATATTTGTATTGCAACCACCTACAAACTTGTATCTATATTAGTATTCCTAAATTTAACCGAACTAAGCTTTATTATCATTTACAATAGTTTGAGATTTCAATCAACAAAAATGATAGCTAATAGAAATCTCAAAAAAGAACAACTGAAATCATGCATAAAGGCACAAGACGAAGGTCATGGAACATGTTATTAAAAATGAAAAAAAAAAAAACATTATGGTGAAATTCAAGCAAAACATCTCAAACTTGAAGTTTAGTTCAAGCTTTATCAAACATAAGAATAGCAAAATATCATCAAAATTTCTATAATTGAAAAAACAACTAACAATAAAAACCAAGCATCATTGGACTATCATATAGAAAATCATCCATCCAACTCCTTTTTATAATTGCTGGAAGTTTCAAAATTGGAACATAGAATTATTTAGTAAAAACCACATGTTCATTATGAAATCAAAAGTTCACTACAATACCAATTATAGGAAAAATATTAGAGAGTAATGCTTAATCACTCAAAAGTTAACAAAAATTCAACACATAAATATTAATAAAAAAAACACGTATTCCAATGCATTATGTAATTGTGGATTTTGTGTTTCTTATGTGATGACTTGTGTTTAATTTTTAGGCAGGTAATATATTACTCAATATTATCCATAATATTAGCCATGCGTTACTCAATGAGGACAAAATATTAAAAAGAGTGAAGTGGGAAAACATTATCCATCCCTAGCTTGTTGTAAAAAATTTTGCAGAATATTTACTCTTAGTTTAACACGAACCAGAGTAACAAAATGTGTAATCCTATAGCTCAAAAAACATCTTGATTAGTTGTTAAAAATTAGATCGGTGGAATACAAATTCATATGGAGGCATTAAGCTTTCTATCTCCATCTCCCTCTCTTTCTCTCTCTTAGTGCCAACAAATCAAACCTTTTTTTTAAGTTTTAGGTTGGAAAATATAGCATTTTTCCTAAAACTGGCTCCATCTAACATCACAATCAAATGGTCATCGAAGTAAGCGATAAGAAATCATGCAAAGTCGTGATCAACTGCCGAAAAAAAAGGTCCAATACAATCAAATAGGATAATAAGTTCTCTCTCTCTCTCTTTTAATGGAGAAATTTAGTAAATGTTAAAGGAAGGTGCCAACCGCAACCAAGAGCTTGTAAATAGCTATTGTATAAGCACAAACTAGATGTCCGCATGTGTGTAGTCTGCGCACTATTTTATCCATTTACTCCAACATATCAAGATTTATTTTTTTAAAAGTTTATGGGCTGAGCAATATAGATTTTTTTCACTTCACAATCAAAATCAAAATATCATAAAAATACGAAATAGTCGATGATGCAATGTCGCAATCACTTCCCCCGTCAAACAGCCGCCAAGTATACTCAAAACTACGATGAACAGCACAAATTCTAAACGTAACGGCATTCACCTGTAAATCCATTCCCGCTGAGATCAAGATCCATCAGCTGCATTGCATCCCCAAACAGATCCTCGGGTATCGGCCCAGTCAGCAGATTGTTTCTAGCACGAAGGACCTTCAAATTATATAGGGAAGCAAAGGAAGGGAGCTCCCCAATGAGCCGATTCTGACCCAAATCCAAGACTTCAAGACTCTTAAAGACCTTCATGGAATCATTCGAAAAGAACCTCCCACTTAACTGATTAAAACTAAGATTCATGTATTTTGCCGTGTTGCCCAAACTCGAGAGGTTGCTCGAATCCATGAACAAACCACCATAGAAATTGTTGCTGCTAAGATCCACATGTTCCACATTCCTCAGCTCCGACAGCATTGCACCGACCTCTCCCCATAGCTCATTGGATCGCAGGTCAAGCACCCGCAGCTGCTGGAGATTCTGGATCCCCGCAGGGAATCCGCCCTTGAACCCGTTCCACGAGAGATTAAGATGAACAAGGCTCCATAGGTTGGTTATTTTCCCCGGGATCGGGCCGTAGAAACGGTTCACAGACAAATCGAGGTGCTGCAGCGAGGTCATTGCCCCAATTGCTGGCACGAGGCGACCAGTGAATAAATTGCCCGCTAGGCTGAGGTTCTGAAGCGCCCTCATGCCTGTAATGGTGTTGAACTTGATTTCACCGGAAAGGCCGAGTCCAACAAGAGCGACGGTGACGACGGAACCAGAGTCGTCGCATGAAACCCCGTGCCATGAGCGCGGGCAGGAGTCTACCGCCGCCGCAGACCCCCATGCCACCGGGCTCCAACTGCTACGGACCACGCCGGTGGGATCGTCAGCAATGCCCTTCTTGAACTCCAGCAACGACAGAGTGTCCGAAGAAACCTGCGCCTGCGTTAGCACCGAGAAGGACAGGAGCAGGAGGAGAAGAAAGCAGGAGTGCGCCGCCATGGAGGGTAGCGAAACCCTAAAGCAGAAATGGAAAGATAAAGGAAGAAGAAGGGAACGGAAAAAGGAGCAAATGGCTCTTCTTCTGTTAAAGAGGTAGAGAGAGAGCGAGAGAGAGAGAGGCTTGTAGGGATGAATTCTTTGAAGAAGAAGAAGACGAAGAAATGTAGAGGAACAGCGTAGAGACTGTAGAGGACAAGAAAGTGGCTTTGGAAACTATACAAATTCCCCCTCCACAGCCGCACATGATGAGTGGCCAGTGGTCCTTTTTATCCCCATGTTTTCTTACAGTCCTGTCCCTATTCTCGAAATTTAATAAATGGAGAATCTGAAAATTAATTTTAGTAAAAGAATCTCATCCAATAATTTGCATTCATTCAAGTCGTTTGAGACGATGAAATTTAATAATTATTTGATGATTGAATTTTTACAAAAACATTATTTATATAATATATTTTCATAATATTCATTTAATATTATCTAAATGATTTTATTATAGAATACCAATTTTTTATTACAAATTTATAATATAACATAAATTTTGGGAGATTTATGTTAATATCTGGATAATGTATAATTTAAATTATAATATTTAAAAATTTTGTATAGTTGTTATGCTATTGTTAAATAATTAATAATATCTATTTTATATTATAAAATTTATTAATATTGTGTTAAATTATTAATATATATATGATGCATCACTAGAAAATCAATTTAATCAATGATATAATATTTAAGCTAAAAACTTTCAAAATTAAATTTATGACCATAGAACTTAGATTTCAACAAATTTTTTTTGTCAAAATAATTATTCAATTGAGCAAATATAATAACATTAGTGTTTTAATCCGAGTTCAAATGAGCTCGAATCAAATATTTGAAGTACAATAAAAATTGATGTGATAGTATTTGATGGATGAGTCGATCTTCAATTCTTATGTGCTTGAAATGATAATTTGACAATAGGAATCTAAAGAGCCTAACATATCTTCATTTTAAAGCACTTAAACATCAAAGGAATTACCTATCATTGAAATAAATAATATGTGTTATTCCATGAAACATTTGGAGATTTGGATTAAATTACTAAATTTTCAATTCAAAACATTATAAATTGGTAATATTTTAAGTATACAAAATAAATGATATTAGAAAGAGCTTAGAGATCTAAAGAACTTTAAAAACCAATCTGTTGATTTAATGATTACAACCTACAATCATCATCGCACAATCTTTGTTGCTTGACAAGCTGACAACCAAATCACAACGGACTCAATTTTCCAGTAGTTTTCTGACGGTTTCAAGACCGTCGGAATAAACTGCGTAGAAAATAGAAATCGGCGATAATATTTTCCTAACATGACCAAAATTCTCCTCACTCAAAAACAAAAGCCGGTAGTGCAACTACAAAGAGTGCTAGCTATATACTTCATGACCATAAATGATTCATATATAGTCACATGAGTTAAATCAAATAATTTACATTAAAGAAAAC